CGTACATTCCTGTTAGCTCAAGTTATTGAAATAATGACTACGTTGGCAAAGGTATTTAAAAAACTTACTGCGGGCAACTTTCATCAAATGAGCGCGAATGAAGCTTATTCGCGAATTGATTGAATGTCATTGATTGTCGATCACAGTTGACGTTCGGCAGTCACTCACGTGCTCTGGTGCAAAAGACTTGGCTAATCAGATATAAATACAAGCATTTCGTCTGCTATCGTCGGTCTTGTCTTTCTTCTCTGGCTGTTACCAGCTGTCGACTAGCGAGGTTGCAATGTAGCGCTATCAATGCCGCTACATTGCATCCGTCAGAGCTGCAGTTTACCGCCTAAATGTAAGGTGTCGGTAGGAGCATCTAAATGAAGCGACTTCTTACTCTACTGGTAGTGCTAACGAGGCCGCTACATTTGGTCGCCCCGACGTGACGAAGCCTCTTTATTTTTGACGCCGTGAACTGGTGATTATCATCGAATTTTCTAAACTTTCTTCTCTTGTTACAATGAGTCACCCTAATGCTGTAAAACTCTGTTTAGAAAACAGCATTTCAGTCAGCTTTCTGCTGTACAATCCCGACTCTCGTGTCTGGTTTAGTCGACCTAAGATCCATTTTCGCAAGTAGATGATTCCTTCCCAGTTCTCCAAGTATTTACATGTTGTATGGTTGCCAAGAAATGTCGCTACAGAATCTATCGACTTGCTTGGAACAACGCCTCCTGAAAACTTCTATGAAATTTTGAAAGATGCTCTTCTCACACGATTGATTATCTTGAACGAGGGCCGCCGTTGACGCCTACTTTCAGATATGGAACTATTGGACAGGCCTCCTTCTCCACTTCTTCGACATATGCGCCTCCTTTTTTTGGGAAAAGTTAGGTTGATGAGTCCATTCTGCGCTAAATATAGAACAAATCTTTTCTGGCACATTTGAGCCTAATCACCTCTTTCCAAAGCTCTAACAGACAGTTGAAGAAATAATTGTGCTGAGGCCCGCAGGGCGGTTTGATTTTTCGCAAACAGGGGGTTTTCGCTTAAGGTGCAACCGCGATTGAATCGTGATCGCTTACGCTCGTACACTGCGCTAGCTCACGGCTGCTAACTGTTCTTGCTAGCTACCGCCACAGCTCTCTCATTGGTAAAATGAACCGGCGAATATTTTCTTCCAACAGGAATGCTGAAGGGTGGGTCGTAGGTATGGTTTGGACGGCTTGAGGCCTTAGAAATGAACTAACACGAGTAATTAAGCGAGGCGAATAGTCGTCGCCGGATGGTGAATGAAACGCTTGGCGCCATTGTTCGTTGTCGGAAGACGTTTGAGGTGATTTTGCTAAGGCAGATACAACCTTTTCTACCAGCGGGATATCTGAAATTTGATAGTAAGATAGATGGTGTGTGACATCTGAGCGTTGGAGTCAGATAGTTGAGGCTTTCCAACATAGTTAAAAATCGGTAACCAGGCCGGGAATAGACCGAAGATACTTGCCAAGCAAGCGTCGAATTTCAAGGCCGTTGAAGAGAGAGATATGATCGAAATTAGAAAAACAACAGTAGTGAGAGATGAGGTTAGGATGATTGGCTGTCGACGGGACGTGTTAGAAATCGGTGTTTATCGTCCAGACGTTAGGCAGCGTCCGGGGATTGGGCGTCGTCCGGCGGTGATTGTGGCCAAAGACGATACGTGGTTGAGTTTGGGCGAAAGTTGGAGAACGAAACCAGGCTGATAAAGGCGAGCGTATAGAGTGAAACCTAGGTTGAACGATGAAACAGAAACAGGACCTTGAGTTGGGCGATGTAGAAGTATAGCGGTCACACGATAAGATTCGAAGGACGGCAGAATTGTTTGAGTGGTGACTTCTTCGAGACGTGAGGCGCCGAACAACCACACCATTTGAGTTGTATTAGAAAAGCGCCAATCGCCAGGTTTTAGAGGATCGATGCAAGTTCAAAGTCTGGAACGCAGTTATGGCAAACTAGTCGAGTGGAATTGACGAACCTTTTCTTCCGCTGATAGGTCATTCGACGGTGTGCTATAATTACGCTTGCCGTCCAAGGTGAACCAGATAGAAAATCGAGAGTCGAGTAAATTAGATGTTGAAGGACTAGATGGGAGTGGTTGAAAACAGTAGCAAACCACGCGGAAGCGAATTGAGCGTCGGGATGAGCATAGCTAACGGTCACACATGAGCTAGATATATCGAGTCAAAGCAGTTCAAAGGCCATCTTAGCATAACTTTGATTTTTTGTTTGTAAAAAGTCAAACGGGTTCAATAGCGTGATCACAATTTGGGTACTCTTAAGTCGCTGCTAGCTTCTCAGTCAGTTGTCCGATACCGACTACGTCGATGTGGTGTGGCGCCGTTTGCTGTAGCGTCAAAGATACCGCAAACGGTCGTCCGTGACTTTGCTGCCAAAGGAAATATGATCAATGCAATGAAATACAAAATCCTGTAATCATCGCACAGTTTCCAATCCCTGGATTTTTTAGGTACCGTTTGCAATGGCTCTACCCGTGAGGTGTTCCAACGCTGAACTATTCCAAGGCCACACAAAGGCTGAAATCCAGGATATTTTTTCTGCTCTGGGTTTATCAGGTGCAGGACGTCATGCATTAGCAAGTGTTGGTGGAGCTTACATCAAACAATGGAGCCTGATTTTGTAGGTATTGTGGTGTAGCGGGATGGCAGATTGCCGCCATCTTAGCCCTCAGTCATTGGTGGAAGGTAATCAGCACGGCGTGGTGACGACGCATGTGACCGGGGGTGCGACTTCCGGCTGAGTGGCTTCACACGGGCATTGAATGACGCGCCGGAATCTGAGAACCAATCCGCTGACGAGATTTCCGTCCCCTTTGCAGAGCCGCGAAACGGACCTAAGGGAGAACAGGACAACCAGGACAAGGATGTATAAAGACCCTGCTTTCACCCTTACGCCCGACCTGTTTGTGACTAGATTGTGGCTTGTTTCAGCCATTATTAAAAGACTCCATTTTGCTTTACTCTCCCTTCTTGATCATACCATGGAGCAGAGGCGTACAGTGGTGACGTCTGAGGACGCAGACATATTGGTCCACGCTGGCCTCAGCCAATCCTCTGCCTATCTGCGTTCCAATGGCATGCGAGGAAGGTAAGTAGCCAACCAGAGAAGGACACGAATGAGGAGCAGTGTATAAAGAGCGGCGTGGCCAGCGTGGTGGACTCGGATGGATGGCGCCTTACTTATGGATCTGGCTTGTGATTGGTCAATAAAGCCTATTCTGCTGTACCAGTCCTCTTCCTATTAGGGCTCAGGTATTCTACAGTATGTTTGCTGGCATCTGGGCCAATGTTATTCAAGGCCAAACAGGGTCCTGACGAATTGGTTGAAGCGAGGAATTCTCGTCCGGGTGGAGAAGTTGAAGTCCATCGTATCCATTCATATCCATCAATCTGGTGGAGCGGTCTGTGACACCTTGCCCTCAGTTCAGCCATAGTGGGACTATCTGCTCTCACACACCTAGGTGCACCTACCTCCCCCACTATCTGTTTAACACATCTGAGCACCCAGTTATTTGTACGCTGACTAGTTCACCCACCCTACTGACCAATATATACATTAGGCACACAGTTCTCCCAACGCACGCACCTACACGACACAACTTGTTTGAGCTGTGTAGTAAACAATCTAGTCTTCGCCCTCTCTGATCTTCTGTAGCAGATTAACAGCGATCGCGCCTGGGTGAAGCCTGTTTACTGACCTCTCGGTGACTATGACTCATCCCCTTCTCATTGGTTCCTGTCATCGGGCCCAAATCAACACAAAGGCCCCCGACTTGGTACACGACCACATGTGGCAGCCTCAACTTAGCATTTCTGTCAACTCAAAACACACACAAACAAGCATCTGGTTACAACAAATGAAATAGTTTGACCACATCTGTAATGCACGGCTCATGGAAAGCATCTTGTTGTAACCGATAGGAAAACTTGTTAAAGTTATGTAAAATGAAATGTTTATTGGCTACCAAGTGAGCTTTCCTGCAGTCCACTTGCTACATTTCGTATTCCACATTCAAAGGAGGACTAATTTTTCCCGTGTTTGACTGTGCGTTTTTGCTTATTTATGTGTAAGCAAGACTAACACAACACATGGATGATGTGGCTAACACCTGCGTGCACGTGAAAAGTTTCAGCTGAGATGGTCAGTATAAGTCTTATAAACCAAGCACTTTGCTCACACAAATCAAAAAATGCTTCTGTTAAACCAGTCCAAATTCGCTGAATTCTGTTTAATGCATTTACTTTGAAGAGTTATGATTCACTTTTCGCGTCAATGCATTGCATGCGTCTAGTAATGAGCTTATGTACGTATCGCGGGTTGCAGAGGCGATCCCAGTGTATGACAATGAGATCGAAGGGCTACACGGTGGACACAGTGTTCCCGAAGCTAAGCAGCGGATTCTGCAACTCGATGTCAAGGACGTGGTTAAGAAGCACTACATTGGGGATTTGTCAAAGAGATCTCTCTAAGAATGATTTATATTGAACATTTTGCACAGAAATTAATTTTGAACACTACATGCCTCTTATTAATGAATTTATCCGCGTTTCATGACCCCATAATAAGCTACTGCTTGTGAAACATCAAACAACTGTGCGCAGGTGCGTCTAAATGAGAAATTTAAACTTTCCTAGTAAATAACTGTTACGTTTGCCCGTAACAATAGAGAATACCACTCAAATAATGGTACCAGATCCCTCGCTGAAAGATAGAACCGCCCTTCCCAGGCTAATACCAGAACAAGACCAGAGCTCGAGTAGAGAGGTTTATTCACGTCAGCCACGTGCAGAGAAGGAGTGAAATCGGAAGTAATTTGAAAACTTATTCAAGTCAAGTTTGACCTTGACTTGATAAGAGCGTAACAAAACAAATGTTAATAAATTAATGTAAGTAAAATCAGAAACCAATCTTGGGGAATCGTGGATCCCAACAATAACTCTTCAACATTAATCCAAATTCTTTCTTCTGTGTGAGCAATTGACATTAATGACGATTGCTCTAAAATTTGTCCCTGTCCTGATGTGACGTATGCAGAATGAATTCATCTGCAGAACATTCTTCATTACAACTATGTCGAATCTAACACAAGAAAAAATTTTGATCTTTTCAAAAGTCAACTGCGAGTTGCACAGAACTCCGTGGTGGCACGCGAGATTTCACTCTAGTCATGTTTTGCCGGATCAGGCTGAGTATTCGATTTGTATTCTTCTATTCTGATTTATTACGCATACAAAACCACACCCCGCGAGCAATCACACAACAGCAGGCATCTGATTTCCATCAGGTGTGCATGTGACTCACAGTAAAGTGGGATTCCCAGCATTCAGGATGTACCTAAACCCACCTTCACTGTGTATGGCTGTTCGCGTAATTACATTAATGCCAGTATCTGACACTTGATTCGACGCTTCTCACTCGGATCAATGATACAAGCTTCCCATGTCAATTCTTAATCGAATTTAACTTTTCGCTAAAAGGCGTTCTCATATCCTCACAGAGCCTGCTCGGCACTCAGTCACCGAAGTCTCTTTCATGACGACTTAGAAACCTCTGCCCTCACACACATCAGCATTTACGTTTTTGCATCCATCTAATAAACAAGAGAGTTTAGAATTTGACTGCAGTTTTTTATCAAATTTATGAATTTGTCAGCTGTAAATCAAATTGTGACATATGCTGCTTCAGTTGCTCGCCAAACAAGTTAAATAAATTCGGTATCACTTTGATAAAACGTCTGGGTGAAAGGCAATGGTCATCAGGTAAGTTGTTGAGAGGACGACAATTTCATTCAATTTCCTTTTCTTATCTTTGAGTCTTACACTCTCTTGAGCATATCTCCGAGCGGCCTGACAGTCCCTCCGCATTAAATGAACAATCTTCTGACTCGCTGGCCAATGACGAGGAACCCACCTCACACACACACACATACCGACCAGGTTTTCATTTGTTAACTTTGATCACGTGATTGCA